CGGATTCAACAGAGCATGGAAATATCAAATACGTACGTCTTCCCTTGATTAAATGACTCTTTGTCTTTGGATAGTTTTATATTTAATTTTAAATTCTGTATTAGAAATATAATACAAAGGGTATTTTATCAATAATGACATTCAGTGTACAGGTGATAAAAAGCCAGTTTACCTGAGAGAATAAGAGAGAGAGATGCAGGTGAAGAAACAAATTTACTGTCTTACAAGTTTTTAATTTACATATATTTATATTAGTCTCCTTGTTAGCTACTAGCACACATAATTCTACTAATCAGACTCAGAAACTGGCCTTACCTGTATGTATATAGATTGCAAGTTCTAACAACTCTTCAGCCCAAACTGCCCAGCTAGACAGAGAGAGAGAGAGGGTGGAGGTGAGGTTGGGGTGTTGTGAGTCCAGCAACAAGGGCCCAAACATATTGCCACATAAATCATGATGACAGCTGCACTCAGACTGGTTTTACAAATTCATAGTCATATAAGCCCCGAGTAATCTAGAAATTTTCTATGGCGACTTGCAGGTGTATTCATTATGATCAAACTGAGAGAGCTAAATTAGATTTACCTGAATATTATTTTACTTTACAAGTTCATTGATTTTGATTTGGTTAGAAATCATATTGGGGAGCAAAAAAAAATTGTGGATTCACTGATTTTACAAGGAGACTAAAGGGCTTTTTGCATTCAAGGTAACCTGTTTGGAAATTGAGACTAAAACTGCCAACTAACAAAAGAAATAAAAAAAAAAAAAAAAAATGGTTCTACAGAAGGATGCTGAGAATATCATGAACCAAACATGAGAACAATGATGAAATTTTAGAGAAAATGAAAACAGAAAGGACACTTATACTTAATATCGGGCAGAGACAGTTGAAATTTCTAGTGCACATAATGAGGAAAGAGGGCTTGGAGAACTTGAACCTCACTGGGCATATTGAAGGCATGAGATTAATTAATAGATTCATTCATTCATTTTCTATGGCTTATCAACCCTTTGCAGGCTATTTAAAGCCAGAAAATATTTTTAGATAAGAATTTTTTTTTTGGAGATAATAGTTTTAGTGTTACAAGTCTTACTAATTAACTCATAGTCGGATGTTGGGGGAGTGTTTAGAAGAAGTGGATTCATACCTTTCCCAAGGAAAATATAATGAACTCAATTGGAATACCAAACAATTCCAAACCATTATCCATTAAATCACCAGCACTTCCAAGCTTACAGCACCTGTTATTCTCAAGTGGTCACCCATCTAGGAACAGACCAGGCTCGACATTGCTTAACTTCAATGATTGTATGGAGAAGGCAAGAGAGCCAAATGAAAACAATGCAAAACCTGTATGAAGACAGGTCTTTTTCCGTTGTGTGCATGCGTAAAGTTCCTATAAAATTTTGTAAGATTTACACTTGAGAAGAGTTCTTTGTTAAATGGTACACATAACTCAAAGAGAAAATAATGACATAATCAAGATGTTAACTTTCCACACTACTTTAAACAAAAGGTTTGGAAGGAAACCTCCATCAATACTAGACAGAGTGATAACAGTGAACTTGTGACATCTAATTTCCTGAAAAATTGTTTTAATCAAATGATTTTATAAATTTCTACCAACTCTAACTGTTCACTCAATGAATACCAAATATTTCCTGTATGGAAGCAGCTAATTTCACCATTATCACTGTTTAGATGCCATCAATCACAATTGGTCAACCTGACTGTGGAGCTAGACATCTCCAGCACAAAGTCACTTTTGACATATTTAATCAACGATAGAACTTTTCTCTGCAAACTGTAGGAATCTTTGGACTTTAATTACTTTTTTTTTATCTTTCTTAAAATTAAAATTTCCAAAAATTTATTTCCATCTCCAATGTTAGAATCAATTAAGAAAAATATGCCAAATTTGACAAATAAAAACAAATGCATGCAGCTGACAGGTGTTAAAATAAAAAAATAATCATTTTAAATTAAAACTAAGCTCTCCTCATGCTAGCTAACAAGAAAAATGGAATTTTTTTTTTTGTTTGGGTAGCCTATGGTCAAATCCTACTGAAAACAGTGGTTTTGTTTGATCACCAAAGTTAAGCAGCATTGAACCCAGTCATTACTTAGATGGGGGACCACCAAGTTCTGTAAACAACTTCCTACAGTCTTAAATGTATTTCGGCTTTAAAAAACCCACAAAGGGTTGATAAGCCATAAAATAAATCAATCAATCTGACTCATGTAAATAACCCACAAAGGGTTGATAAGCTATAAAATAAATCAATCAATCTGACTCATGTAAAAGTTGCTGTTCTTAATTAATCTTTTCCAATAAAAATTTCAAAAACTTTTTCAAATGTGGTTAAGAAATCAAACCTGAAAACAGAAATAAAACTTTGTAGAATATTTTGATCAGTTGCCAAAATGAATATTGAAGTGATTTTCTTCTTATTGTGGTCCGGTATCTGCCAATGAAGAGGGATAGAAAACTCAGCAGTACCAGAACCAAACAAAAATCCTTGGTAACACACAACAATCCTGTTGTGTGATCAATGTGGTGTACTACCAAGATCTCATCTTCCCAGAAAATGTATCTGCTTTTATAGAGCTTAAAACTTTAACAGTTGACTAGCAAAGGAATCATTTTCATAGCTCACCATCCTATCTCCTGGAGAAGGTGGTAAATACTTTCTTACTAACCAGATACTCTAGGGTTTGTACTGGCATTGTTCTAGCATGGAAGCCATTTGTTGTCTTTTTGCAGAGACAACACACGAAACATCATCTCTGACCGACAAGGGCAGGGTACCGTTATCAGTAGTGATTAGTTGTTCTGTTTGCATTTTGTTTCCACTACAAATATTTGTTCATTGAAAAAGATAATGGAAAAAAAAGAAAAGAAAAAATATTTGTCAAATTGCTTATAAATGGAAAAATCCTTCTATTATTTCTTTTTTTAATAAATTTTCTGAAGTTCTGTACATCCCAATTGCAGACTATGTGGGTACAACATTAATATGCTAGGTGTTATTATTGGGGTTCCCATAGCAAGTAGGTTTTTATGGGATGGAGTTTCTATCTCCATGCCCAAACAGTTTTGAATTCAGAGTTGTCCTAGACTGATTGCCAATCAAGGCTGAAAAACCCAATTTACTCTACTATTTAAGCTGAGGTTCTGTTAAATTACCAAATGAAAATTCTCTACCATAAAAAACAAAAGGCCAGAAATTTCTTTGAAGAAATATCACGTTTAATTCATAAAGTATAGCAACCTCATGTTTTTATTTCTCATACAAAACAGGTTTTTCCCAAAACGTTAGCAAGTTTTCTTTTTGTTTACTTTTTGCAAAATTATTTTGCTGTTTTAGTCTTTCATAAGTACAAATGACAAAAAAAGGGGGGAGAGTCAGTTATTTTCTCACAGAAAAACATTAAATTATGATTATATTATTGAAATTAGAATTGCTCATTATACAAATAAATCCTTTTCATCAAAGAAGTATTTGAATAAATATTGGTATAAATAAGGAGAGTCTTGTTCCCACTCAGCAGCTGATACTTCAACCTAATTAAACTGTGAACTGTCTCAATACAAATAAACTGCCTCCTTCAGACAATTCATTCAAGTAACACACGAGTGAAATGTAAGGAAAAAGCATGAAATAAATAGAACTGGCTTTACCTGAATAAAGGGATCATTTTTTTTTTTTTTACATTAGTTCAACAAGGCCCAAAAGTCACTCAAAGTAGAGTGTTACCAATTGAAATTGTTGTAGATAAGGAGGGAGCAGGAAGTACATATTATAAGCATATGTATGATAGATAATGGCTGACCGTGGATTTAGTCCTTAGGGAAGAATCCTCTTGGGAGTCAGTTCCACAAAGTAATAGCTGTGGAGAAGAAGCATTCTGAGTGGAACTTACTCTTTACCAAAGAAACACAAAGGGGATGATCTGCCAATATGACCATTGCATGCTGAGTCCTAGCTGTGAAGGCCTGAACTGGTGGAACTAAGAAATGTAACTCATTAGACCATTTGATATTGTAATAATGATAGAGTATTGAGAGGCTAGCAGCATTTCATTTGTCATAAAGATGTTGCAAGGTGGAAAGTAATTCATCACAAACAAGGCTGCATAATCATTTTTAACAGCGAGGATTGGGTTGCACCTGTAGACATATAGTAGCAATACACCACTCTTGGTTAATTCTGACTCTTGTAAAGAGAGAGCATGGCAGCAAGCATTTTCTAGAGTGATGAAAGGAACCGACCATTCTTCCAGCATGTCTAGCAATGACACACACATGTACAAGTTCCATTTTGAGGTCTGCAGTGGACATTAGACCCAATAGGCGTTTGAGGAAATGTGCCTTATTGAAGGTATATCATTGCTCATCAGGATTAGAGTAAATTTGGGGTCTGCTTGGTGGTGATGAAATGTTAGTAGCTTTGTTTTCAATGATACAAAATTTAAGAGTAAAGGGTACAGTATGAAGAGAACTTATCAGATCATTTAGATTACTTTCTTCCCAAATAAATCTTATAAAATACAAGTTACCTCCCTTAGACTCTACTGCCATAAAATGAGGAAATTTTATATATATATATATATATATATATATATATATATATATATATATAAACAGCTCAAAAGCCACCCTATCAGGCAGTATTTAAGCTAGCTCCTGCAGAGGGTTCTTGATACCTTCTGAGGAGTGGACCGAATGATTTGAAAAATGGTTCGTCTATGAAAATCTGGAGCTAGGTTGCTGAATATAACATCAATCAGCTAAGTGATAAATCTATACTTATATAATGTATGTATGTATACTTTTATTTTTTTTCCCCCAGCCATCACTCAATTAATATTCAAATTTGGTGAAAATCTATTTTGCAATTTATTTCAGAGTTTAATATTGAAGAAATACACAGTTGGCTGAGTGTCCAGAGTTTCCACTCTAAACACTGTGTTGTTGTCGATTCTCATCAAGAAATGCACCTTTCAGCTGACACAAAGACTTCTTCCTTTGGCAGTAATTGCAAAATGTCTAAGGTGATAAATGGTCAATGCAATTTACAGAAAATTGCTGATTAATTAACTGAATGTTTTCAACATTCTACATTGAAGATCTTTGACTGTGACATGTGGGGTGGGGGCAGTTATTGGATATTACATTTTATGGGGAAATGGATTTCGGAAATATTCCATTAAAAAAAAGATTTTTCTTTCCTTCTGGTGACATTGAATTTTCTTCTTTGCATACAGATCTGAAAAAATGTGCTTCATTCTTTCTTACACAAGGGGAGACACAGTCATCTGTCAGCGGCAAGGCAAGTGGCCTGGAGGAGAGATATCTTGTGGGCTCTTAGAGTGTTTGCCACTGAATTGCTCCAGCATCTTCTTGGTCTGCCTCTCACTCTCCAGCCAGAGTACCTGAGGATGTATGCTCATAGGGCTGGTTGGTTGATAGGCATACGAGTGAGGCATCAGAACCACTTGATCCTTTGTTGTTTAATGTGTAGTAACCAAATAATACAGAATTTTTTGTGGGGATGGATTTTTGGTTGATAATATTTCAGCCTCCTATCCTATATTAATAGGTAGCTACCCATTTCTACATGGGTGGCTAGTTAATCCCTGTTGCAGATGGCTGCTCAGGCAAAAAGGAGCCAAACTGTAGTTGATACTGAAAGTGTACTGAGAAAATCTCAGTTAAAATTTCTCAAAGACAGAGAACACAGTCTGGTGTGATCAAATCTTCAGTCACAATCACTTGTGATTTTGTGCTAACACAAACATCAACAGCTTCATGGTATAATTTTCAGGAACTTACCAACAGTTCTGCATGCTGGAATTGTCTCTTCAGGCTGATGTTACCAAGAAGTCACCTTCTTGACAAATTGAACATGGTGACATTTAAACCAAAGTCTTATAGCCATAAGACCAACGTTCTAACCACTAAGCCACATAATCAGAATATAGGGTATGCAGGTAGTGTAATGGATAGTGGCTCAGAATGAGAAATCAGAGAGTAGAGGTTCATTCCCAGTCAGTTATATTACATTCACTTACATGTAAATATCCTTGGGAAAGATATTAACCCATCTATGGGTTAAATAACAGGACTTTTATTTTGAAAAAAAAAAAAACAAACTTTTTTGATACAATATTCTCTGGCAAAAAAAAAAAAAATTCTTACAATCCAAAATGTTTTGCTTTAAATAATGTCCCAAAGGGTTGATAAGCCATAAAAAACATATCAATCAATGGTTATAATATATATTGCATATGTGTGAAAGAGAGTATCATGAATGATGTGATTTATGTACCAGACATACACTTTGAGAATACAATATCCAATAATTATGCAGCTCAACTATGTTCGCCAAAGATCTTCAATGTGCAATGTTGAAAACCTTCAATTAAAAAGTTCAAAGCTCTTGAAAATAAATATGCTGTAATTTTTTTTATCTAAATTTAAAAAATTCCAAGTGAATTAAGATATTTTCCAGGCTGGGAAACAATACAAACTTGTAAATTCTGATAACTTGGATTCATGACGAAGAATATTTAGCCAAGATGAAGAAACCATTTTACCTACAAAAATTTATAATGGAATCAATTTTAAAAATGTTTAGATTTTTTTTAAAACATAACTTGTCACAAGAGGAATAATGTTTTGTTAAAACATCAGATGGAATTCTCTCTGTATATGTAGAGAATAAAAAAAATCACTCAACACGAATAGAGACCAGCTTTGTTAAATATTTTTTAATTTTAAATTTTGCATTAATTATTTTTCTCCCTCATCATAAATAAGAGTTTAAAAGCAAAAATCAACACCCCCCCACTACCCAAAAAACCATTAAGTTGATTAAAGACAAGCCAAAAAATACAAAATCATTTTTGGAAAAAGACTTAAAAGTCTTCAAGAAAGTTTTAAAAAGATGTCTTCAGAATAAGATGGAACAAAAATCTTTTACTTTTAGCAACATGAAAAAAAATTTGGCCATACATTGACACTTAAAAAGATCAAAGATAACCAAATTCATAATAAAATTTCTTTCTCTCCAGTGACCATTTCTTAAAGATCATCAGATAAAAAATTGGGCAGATTTTTTGTACATATTTTATGGAGAACAAAGTACCAAAGTGGGTAAATATTAAACCTTTATACCACCACCCACCCCCACCCACCAAAAAAAGAAATGGTGGATCAAAAGGATGGTTATTCCCTTGACACTGCTATTACTGTATACACTTTTGACTCCCTCAGCAATATTTATTTACAAGATTATAAAAATATGTGAACCAAGTACAATGCAATATTTATTATTTACAATTTGATAAATAACTATAAAAACAAGCTTTTTAAAGGTAAAATCAGGTAAAAATTACAAACATTGTAATTACACTCAAAGAAAATTTTTGTCCACCCAATAAATAGGGAGGTACACACACAAAGTATTAATTACTTGTTGTCTTGCCTAGACTGTAAGATTTTAAATATCCCCAGACATTGGCAGTGGAATGAGGACAGCCTATACTTGTAGATTAAATAAAGGTTTCCCTTTCAGAATTCCCTGCAGGTTACCCAGCTCGATATACACCTGAGGAAAGCCGGAACGAACAACAACCAAAACATTGTGATAACAACAACAAAGATGGGGACAATAGTCCAAATATAAATAAGAATTAAGATTATTTATTTTTAATTTAAAAATCTAAAGATTTGTCTTCAGTTTGTCAGACTAATAATCTTAAATTAATCTCAATGCAAATGTTTAGTAAAATATTTTCTTAAATATATAAATATAAATATATTGATATAAATATATTATAAATATAAATATATGAATATATTATAATATAAATATATGAATATAAATATAAAATATATGAATATAATATAAATATATTATAAATATAAATATATGAATGTAATATAAATATAATATAAATATATTATAAATATAAATATATGAATGTAATATAAATATAATATGAACATAATATAAATATAATATAAATACTGAATAAACAATTACACAGAATTTTTTTTCTCTGTCTATTCATATGTGTGTGAAAAAGATAAGTTTATATGAACACACTGAGACAAATGTCAGTATAAGCAGTCAGTTAATATCCAATCTCAGTCTATTTATACATATCTGTAATACTTTATTGACTGTAATGAAACAATGTTTTATTCCATTTTAAACTTGTGGTTAATTTCTTCTTTTTTTTTTATCTCAGATTATGTTGAAAAATAAACCAGAAGACAGGATATGAACAGTTATTGGCTGTAGTGCTAAAGAAAAAAAAAGAAGTTGTCAGATTAATGCAAAAGTTTCCAGAACCATATTTTCTGCAGTGTTAGGGAAATCTTAGAAATGTATTTGACATTTACTCAGCACTTTATTGTTTGTGCAGTCAATTTTCATTTTAAAAGCCTCTACAGAAAATCTGAAATTTGTAAAATGTGTTCCACTTGAATGAATGTACATCATTTGATTGAATGATTGATTCATTTTCTATGGCTTATCAACTCTTTGCAGGTCATTTAAAGCCAGAAAATATCTTCAGTGTGTAAGAATTTTTTTTGGAAATAATGATTTTAGCAATACAAGTTTTACTAATTAAACCATAGCTGGGGGAGAAGAGGTAGATTCATACCTTTCCCAAAGGTCTGTGCACGTAAGTGAATATAGCGAACCCAATTGAAATTGGAACACGGCTTTCTGATTAACAATTCCAAGCCATTATCCATTACACCACCTGCACATCCAACCATACAGCACCTGGTATTCCCAAGAAGTCACTCAATCAGCATCATTTTAGCACTTGGCTTTCTCTACACACTCAACAGAAACAATTTTTGAACATAATAGCCAATGCCAAAGAAAAAATATTTATTAATATAAGTCCAGACTAAAAATAAAATTATGGTTGGATCCAGGAAAGACTTTAACAACTGAAATCAACTGGTAAAAAATGTTAGTCTTTTGTGAATCAGATTCAAAGAGAATATAATGATTTTATAGGATTTCTAGCATTATTTATATAATATTTATATTATTAGGTAACGTCCTAAATAATTTCTGTTTTTGTTTATCATTTTTAATCTTCATGAGATAAAGTTCAATTCCATTTCATCCAATTTTATATTTGACATTATTTGCAATGACTTGGCACCACTTCAGCTCCTCAATACCTTCTGAGTGAAATCCTGTAGGTTTTGAGGTGAAAAAGTTTTGACAAATTCTTGAATCTGTTTTTTATTAGAGAAAAAAATTTCCCATCAAAGTGTTCTGCAGTGATAAAAAAAAAAGTTAATTGGTTGATAGAATATTGAATGAATATAGCAGGTGGGGTAGAACAGACCAGTTGAACTCAACTTTTTCCTGTATGCCACCTTGCATTGTCACAGAAGGGAGCATTTTTTCATTCATCCATTGTGTATGCTGCCACTGCTGTGCAAGAATTAAACTATTTTAGTGTAATCCAAATTTATTCTTAACTGCCATGTATGGTTACTAGCTAGAATGATACATTCATCATTACATTTAGTTGGCCAAGAATGGAAATTACTAATGACTTAATGTTATCTATCTATCCATTATCTATCTATCTATCTCTGTATATTCATTATCTATCTATCTATCTATCTATCTATCTATCCCAGCATATCCATTATCTATCTATCTATCTATCCCAGCATATCCATTATCTATCTATCTATCTATCTCAGCATATTCATTATCTATTATCTATCTATCTTATAATTCATTATCTATCTATCTATCTATCTCATTAAATTCATTATCTATCTATCTATCTATCTCAAGCATATTCATTATCTATCTATCTATCTTTTCTCAGCATATTCATTATCTATCTATCTATCTGCTCAGCATATTCATTATCTATCTATCTATCATCTTCAAGATATTCAAAATCTATCTATCTATCTCAGCATATTCATTATCTATCTATCTATCTCAGCATATTCATTATCTATCTATCTATCTATCTCAGCATATTCATTATCTATCTATCTATCTATCTCAGCATATTCATTATCTATCTATCTATCTATCTCAGCATATTCATTATCTATCTATCTATCTATCTAAGCATATTCATTATTTATCTATCTGTTATATGTTAGTGTACTCCACTTAACTGCCATCTATGATTAGTAGTTAGAATGATGCAGTCATCATTGGTTCTCAAAAAAAAAAAATTACTTTAGACTCAACCTAATATTTTGATAATATTTATAATTTATTTACATACCATTATAATGAATTGCTTCAAATTGGGAATGAATTGTAAATGTGCAGTGCTATTAGGAACAACTGGCTTGTTTGAATGATATACTGGAAGAGAAAATGACCTTTTTTTTCTGAACAAGAGAACATAACTTTGGAGCATGACAATGCACATTTTCATGTTGCAAATGCAATACAAGAAACAATACAGCCAATTCTATGCATAGATTATCGCTTTTTGGTCATTGGTTCCAAACACAATCAAAATATCAAATACACAACTTACCTAAAAGGTTACATAAAGTCAGAGAAATCAAGAGAAAATATTTGATGGCTGAATAATGATGCTATGAATGTATATAAATAAATGATTTTATCATAATGCTGGAAATTTTTGATTCTAACAAAAAAAATACACTAACAAAACCACATGCAAATGGTACATCAATTTTTATATACAAAATATTTGCAAAAGGAAGAAAACTATCAAAATAGAAATTCTGAGGAGGAAAGTTTTTTGAAATTCTTTCAAATAAAATTGAAATGTTTTTTGTGAGACGGACAATGGGAAGATTCAGAAATAATTCAGACACTTACAGTTTTCTTCAAAAGTCAATCAACTTGTAAAATGTTCTAATCATTCACATTAGACACTCACCTGAAAGATAAAAAAAATTATCAGATAATGTAACACAAGAAAAACCACAAGGCACACACATATATTGGTTTGTTTGATTTTGTTTAGTGATATTTCAACCTCTATATGTTATTTAATGAAGTATATATATATTTCATTATAATGCTTATATATATATATATATATAAAGAAATCAATTTAAGACTTATGTCAGGATATCAACCCTTTAATTCAAATATCCTCATTTTGACAGGAGATATGCCAGCAATTGCACCTATGCTTTCATTCACCATTAGGTGTGATCACACACACACTATATCAAGAACAATAAAAAGATACAAATGTAAATATTAAGGGTGTTTTTTTTTTCCAGACCTGATTGCATTTTAGAAAAATCTGTTGAATATTTCTTCCATTGAATGTAAAATATGGCAAAGTTTTTTGGTAGTTCATGATGATCTTTGTAAGGCAAACATTTTGATGTATGATCATTTGCTTGTTTTTTTTTTTCATATGGTCAAGCAAACCTTTGGCCTAATGAATAGTTCATTCAGATAAATTTAATTAAAAAACTTTTCTTTTTAATTTTTTTACTTAAATTTTCATAAGTGTAAGAAAAAAACATATCTCAATCGAAGGAACTTAAATATTTTTCAAAGTTCTTGTGATCTAGCGCTTTCATAAACAGGAAAATAACTGAATGTTATTTGTTTTAATTTTTTGAATACTTTTAAAAACTGCCTTTCATGCATTACGATGATGTCACATTTGATGTAAGTGAACTTTTCTACGTTGAATGTATCTATCATACTTAAATACACAGCTGAACATAGTTTAAAAGTTGCTAAATTTATAGAGAAAGAGTGCTCAGTATCAAATATAGAGCTGTTATTGATGCAAATAGTGTGGACATAAGAATCAACATTGCTTGGTGACTGTCAGTATCACGCTTCAATGCAATTTTCCGGCCAATTGTTACTGCTCTTTCAGTGGTTTGTGTATATGTCTCACTAGGGGATTAAGTGAAGTTGGGGAATAGAAAACTGACCCTGCCCAATTTCTTTTGTTTAGAGCTAATGTTGAGGGTCATAATCTTGAAATTGCTTATTTATGATCATGACCTCTATATTTGTTTCTTTTTAAAGATTTAAAGATTTATTTTTAATCTGAAATTTCTATTACTTCAAATGTTATTATAGTGGACACTTATAAAAATTGGGCGTCTATTTTAAATAAGAAGTGACCATTATAATAATGTTTGAAGTAATATATACACACATACTTCGGTATTACGGACAACCCTTTAATGGATATCAGAAGCAACGGACAAAATCTGGAGCAAAATAATGGACAAAGTTCTGTCAATACTGGATACAATCTGCTGCTTTGCAAACTGACCACTAGTTAGCAGGACATCATTTTGTTTAGGTCAGTGTAACGACACGTGTTGCTTATTGCTCCAAGAGTTTTGCCACTTTTGCTTATGCCAGTGTGTTTAAGTGGTTTTATAGTCCTCATTTTCTCTAATGACATTGTCTGGAGGAAGAGTAGTGTTGTAGCATACCTATGGGTATGTTCCCATTCACATAAATACAGTAGTAAATACTGTATGTTGGTCTGCAGTTGGAGATTCATTGTGGAATTCACTTGACTCATTTTCATGGTTGACTACTACTTCTATGCACTGCTGGTGAATCTTATATGTGTTGTTCATGTCGTAAGTATTATCGTTCATTACCAATCTTTGTGTAATTGAACTGAGGAATCAGAGACCCAAGTTCAAATTCCAGTTGGATCTATTATATTCACTTTCATGCTAATACCCTTGGGAAAGGTATGAATCTTCTCCCCCCACCAACTATGAGTAAATAGCAGGACAGACTGGGTTCTATAGCCTTGGATGGCAACTAATCTACTGCAGAAAGAAATGGCAACCTACTGCGGGAAAAATCTGCCTTGTCAGTCATGTATTGAAAGATACATGATTGCCTACACGTGTATCATGCATGGCACACAACTGACTAAACCCTTCCTAGAAAAGCAGAAAAAGATGAAATTCACTGTAGCACAAAATAATGTATATTTAGAGTGTATTTAAACCTCTTATACAAGGTCAGATTGAATTGTGTGCTTGGTTAAATGTACAATACTGTATTATTCCTATTTCTTTTGTAATGAACGAGATAATTATTGAAAAAGTTTTTTTGTTTTCTGCCGGGAGGGATATCAAAAGACAGAAAAACTCTGATATTTTCAGATTTTGTGAAAAAAGAAACAAGTTCATTCGTCAGATAAATTATAATGGTTTAATATAAAATTATACAAGTCTTGAAAAAATAATTTCTGCCCATATCTGGGGTGTTTTCGATCGGAGGAAAAATTCCAGTTTAACTCCAATTTAAAAGCCTCCGTTACAAGTGATTTCTTTCTTTGTGTTTTGAAATTTGGAATAAACACACACTTTCATTTTGTAATTAATTATTGATTGGTTTTCTATGATGTTCATAAAAAATGACAATTTTTTTATAGAATTTGGGTGGGAAGATAACAAATTTAGTGATAGGAAAAATTTTGTCAATCCAAAGAGACCTTCCCAAAAGGGTATTTGTTGAGAATGGTGCTAGGTTTTCCCAATGGATAAGACCTGGCCAGAGATAACACAGGTTTTAACTGGTAAGACCTTTCAGAAAAATTAAGGAAAAATCTTTGTTCTGCAGTGGATGAGCAAATGCTCTTGATTCTGATTTGTAGTTTTCCTTTCATCTTCAGTTTTTTTTAGGGATAGAAACATATCAGCATGGATCAAAGAACAAACCAAGATGAGATAGAAGGGATTAAGCAACAAAAATAAAGGTGGTTGGAACAGATAGTAAAAAGAAATGATAACAGGTGGAGCCAATGGATAGCAACAAATGAAATAGGAACAGCCCAGATAGAAGATGGTGAGATGAGATAGAGGAGTGTGCTGGTAAGATATACCAGAGACTAGCACAGTCATAGTTGTTATGTTTGTTGGTTTAGCCACATATCAACTCCTTATGGGTCATTTAATGCTGAAATTTAATTTTAATATATGGCTGGTAATATTTTTTTTTCCCAAGAATATATTGCTGGTAATTCCCACCCCCTTCAAAAAAAGTATTGCTGTTAATTTTTTTCTATGAAAATGTATTGATGGTATTTCTACTATAAAAAACTTTTTTTTATACTTTCATAGTGTTTTGATACCAGTTGGGGGTTAACTATTTGCCCATAGCTGGGACCCTAACAGGTGCTAGCACCCAGGTTCAGTGTGGATCTGGGAACATCAGCAATTAAGAGGTGGTGCCATGCTCCTCAAGACCTCGTGATCAAAGTTGTTATGGAAGGAGCTAGGAAAGACAATGGAATTTAAAAAACTAATGATGAGGACACACACATACACACACAGACATTCACCTCCAACTTTAGAAGAGGTGATAAAGAAATATCTAGAATAAAACAGACAAACAGACAATTCTGCTTGCAATTAAAATCCAAAATGAAAGAGCAAGACAGAAATTACAAAAAATCATTTAACAATTTTAGTCCCTTGAGCGTGTTGACAGATATTTTTTTAAAAATAAACAATTTGCTTATATACTTGTAGACTATTGCTCCGAGTCTGATGTAAACAGAACAAAAGATGTACGCTTAATTATAATTGTCACAATTATCATTTTCACTGTGTAAGTTGAAGAAAACAAAAGCATTTTTGAACATGTGATTAAAAAAAAAGAAAAAAAAAAAAAAGAAAAAAAAGATTGGCAATTATTTGAAGCTCATGGAACAAAGTAACAAAAAAAAACAAAAAACAATGACTGGAATTTTTAAAATCCATCTTTTTTTTCTTCTTTCAAGTGAGTCATTAACCCACAAATGTTCACCCAATACAAGGCTCAAGAGTCACTCAAGGTAGAGGGAGAGTGTGTGGTGTTGTATGAGCATAAGAAAGTGCAAGAAGTGAAGTTCATAGGGCTGTGCAGGAAAGATAATGAGGATAAATTGTCAAATAATATTAAATTTTATTAGTATTTATTTAATCTTCACAAAAGTTCACCCTATAAAAGGCTCAAGAGTCACCCAAGGTAAAGCGATTATTAACGAATATGTGATATCAATGGAAGAAGACGTAGTAATAAGAGAATCTTATGAGGATAGAAAGAATAAATAATAACTCTTGCAATCAAGACTGCAGATGAATGCAATCTCCATGAAGTAGGGACAAGATAAATGAATATTTTGTCTTAGTAATG